CAAACTACAGGGAAGGCTGGTTCTGTTGTGTGTTGAGAACCAGTAAGGTAGTCTGTAGTCAGCGAACTATAGGGAAGGCTGGTTCTGTTGTGTGTTGAGAACCAGTAAGGTAGTCTGTAGTCTAAGAACTACAGGGAAGACTGGTTCTGTTGTGTGTTGAGAACCAGAAAGGTAGTCTGTAGTCTAAGAACTACAGGGAAAGGCTGATTCCTATTTGTTGAGAATTAGGAAGGTTTTGGCTTTTAGCCTGTGTAGTTTAGATAGGTCGAGTTGACTTATTTATATTAATAGTCAGTGTATGAGCAAAAGAGGGAGAGAACCCTAATAAGAATCTTTCTGCAACAGAAATAACATAAGGAAAGAATAAGATTGTACCTGAAGTAATTTGTTAAAGAAACCTATTTTGAAGAAAAATAAGTTTAAAACCTGTTTAGTAGAAGGCATAGTCCTCTTAAGAGTGGTTTTATGAAATGTATTAAATGTAACCTCTGAAGATATGTGCCTCTAAGAGTTAAGAAACATTGAAACCATCAAGCTTCTTCTATACTTCAATAAACTTGTTACAGTTTCTTCTAAAGCCAAGTCTTTGTTACAAATACTTTCAAGTTAAGCCACACTACACATTGAAGAAAGACCAAATCAATATTACAAGCTATTAGTGGTGTTATCAATTTATTAAGTCCTTATAAAGTGGTGGCTCCTTTACAAAACGTCACAAATTGGTGCCTTCTTTACACCACCCCTCTCACAACCCTGATCTCACACCCAGTGACTCTCATCTGTTCACTAACTTGAAGGAACACTGAGTGGAAAAGACTTTTCTGATGACGACGAGGTGAAAATTGAAGTGACGAACTGGCCAAAAAAGGCAGAGGAAAACTTCTAGGACACAGGCATCAAAACCTCGTCCCACGGATGACAAAATGTATTGAACTGAATGGTGATTATGTGGAAAAATAATGTAATACCAATGCTACAATCCTTGTAGTTTTAATAAAATATATTAACTCTTTGTATTTTTAAAAAAATCTTGTAACCTTACTTTTTGGATAATCCTCATAGATAGGGCTATCCATGCTATTCAATGCCCTTCTCTAAATGTCTTTTAGAGGTAAGCTACCACAGTTCCTAAAAAAGAACAGCCTTTGGGGCACAGAGCTCTAATTTCAGCAATATTTAGCTCTATTTCTCCTCTTGGTTAAAGTTGTCTTGGTCCCCAAAAATCTTTCTAGATTTAGTAACAGAAACGAGAGAACGATCAATTAAATAAATCTGAGTCAAACTAAGATGGAATTCCTTATAACTGAGGAATCCTGGAAGCCGTGAATGGGGTCATTCTTTACCCTATGTCTAAATGGGCATCTGTAAAACTCTTATCTCTTTGTTGTAAGAAAGAGAGGATTTGGATTGGAAGTTTTTAATTTATTGTGCTTGGAAGTCACTTTGGGTTCTGTTCTAAGAGAAAGGCAGCATATAAATAAAATAAATCTGAAAGGAGCAGCTGTTTTCTAGGCACCTGATCCCTTATCTATCCAACACATAATATCTGTTGTCTGTGCTTAAGTTGGCTGGCTATCTTGAGTACACTGCTCCATGTACACTTTTGAGGTCTGGGTCATCTATGACTTGGAAGCAATCTCAGACTTAGGCATCTCTATCGTGGGAAGGCATTTTCTAGATCGTCTCCCAAATGTTTAAGTCCTCATTAAAATTATTGCATGTTTGTGTATGATTCTTATTTATTTGTTTGTTTTTCTGAGAATTTGACTATATTTTCTGTTGATTTGCTTTGATGTATATTCTGGTTCTGAACTTCCATGTTTGTTGTGTCTATAGAAGTGGTTCTCAACCTTCCTGATGCCACAGTCCCTTAACACAGTTCCTCTTGTTATGGTGACCCCCAACCATAACATAACATCTTCATAACTGTAATTTTGCTACTGTTATGAATCATAATGTAAATATCTGATATGAAGGATATATTTTCATTCACTGGACCAAATTTGGCACAAATACCCAAGATACCCAAATTGGAATAGGGGGGGGGGCATTGATTTTGTCATGTGGGAGTTGTAGTTGCTCGGATTCTGCACTCCACCACATGGGAAAGACTTAAAAACTTCTTTTCTAAGAGGACCCCACTATGGATTAATCCTTTGGAAGCAGACCAAAGAAGGGAAACCGGAGGGGAGGTATGGCCTTCATACAAAGAAATTTTAAAGAAACATAATGGGAAGTTCTTAATAAAGACTCAAGAGGAGCTAAACAAAAAATATAAAGGCATCTCATGGTTCCACTACATACAAATTAGAGAATATTACAATTTAGGCCAAAAAAGAGGTTTCATAGAAATAGAGAAGCTATGGGACAAAATAATGTACTCTCAAAACAAAATTATTATTAATAATTATAAGACATTATTGGAGTGGGCACAGGAAAAAGAAACAGTCATAGCAGTAACTTACCTGGCAGGGCAAGGCTAAACTGTCAGCCTGAGCAACCAGGGGAAAATAATAATAATAATAATAATAATAATAATAATAATAATAACAACAATAATAATAATAATAAATTTATACCCCGCCACCATCTCCCCAAGGGGACTCAGGGCGGCTTACATGAGGCCAAGCCCAATAACACATCAGTAAAAACAAAACAGCAAGCAAATAAAACAGTACAATTAATATAACTTACATATAAACAATAACACAGAGAATTTAAAACCTTATGGCCGGTTTTAAAACAAAATAGAAAGATATGGGAGAATTTATATAACCATGTATACTCATGTATAATTTGAGGGCAGCTTTGAGGACCAAATTTATGGATTTTGACATGCCCCTGGGATATATCAAGGGTCATTTTGTAGAAAGAGAAAATGGGCAATGCTGCCCCTGGCCACAGCCACCACCATTTATTTCCCTGTCAGAACGTGGAAACATGGATACAGAGAGTAAAGGCGGTCGGTGTTTCTTTGAGGTTATCTCAGGATGGAGTAAGCTCTTACTTTTTGTCACTCTTACCTTTCAGAGGTGGGAATGGTTCCTTTTTCTGATAAGAGCTTTTTCTGATAAGGTATAATATTTACACTGGCCCACAGAGAAGCTGATCCGGGTTTTTGGACTGATTTTTTAAACTAAAATTTCTCAAATTTATACACAAGTAGGTGGGTACACAAGTATATAGGGAGTATAGAATTATACATGAGCATATTGGTTATATCTGGTGAAAATGGCAACCATTTCAAGCCTCCACTAGTTCTTCGTTATGTATGTAATTGCTTACTGTATTGTGTATGTGTGTATTGGTATGTAATTTGTCCTTAACTTTTTGGAAAGTTAAATATCCTCTGTGTGTCTGTCTATATATGGTATGCGTCTATGACATTGAATGTTTGCCATTGTGATCTGCCCTGAGTTCCCTGAGGGTGAGAAGGGTGGAATATAAATATTGGAAATAAATAAAGGAATACTTCTGAAACTCTGCTCTGTGTGTGTGTATTTGTGTGTGCGTGTGTGCGTGTGTGCATGGGTGTGTATGTATGGATGAATGCTGGTGAGTGCCACTTTTTCCTAAAAGGTTATGACTCTAACTGGTCATGCTTTTACCAAGAGGTAATGGCATCGTTTTTCAAAAGCTTGTGACTTCTAACAAGATCATGCTTTTCCAAAGATCATAAAATCTCCAAAAGGGTAATGGAGATTTCCATTTTCCAAAAATATTACAAGCCTCTTTGGGTCTCACATTAGGAAAAAGCTGGGATCTAAATCTAATTAATTTAGATGGGATTTTAGCCTGCATCAATAGGAGCCTAGTGTCTAGATCTAGAGAAGTCATGCTCCCCATGCTCTATTCTGCTTTGGTTTGACCACACCTGGAATATTGTGTCCAATTCTGGGCACCACAATTCAAGAGAGATATTAACAAGCTGGAATGTGTCCAGAGGAGGGTGACTCAAATGATCAAGGGTCTGGAGAACAAGCCCTATGAAGAGCGGCTTAAGGAGCTAGGCATGTTTAGCCTGAAGAAGAGAAGGCTGAGAGGAGATATGATAGCCATGTATAAATATGTGAGAGGAAGCCACAGGGAGGAAGGAGAAAGCTTGTTTTCTGCTTCCTTGGAGACTAGGACGCGGAACAATGGCTTCAAACTACAAGAGAGGAGATTCCATCTGAACATGAGGAAGAACTTCCTGACTGTGAGAGCCGTTCAGCAGTGGAACTCTCTGTCCCGGAGTGTGGTGGAGGCTCCTTCTTTGGAAGCTTTTAAACAGAGGCTGGATGGCTATCTGTCAGGGGTGCTTTGAATGCAATAGTCCTGCTTCTTGGCAGGGGGTTGGACTCTTCCAACTCTTTGATTCTATGATTCTATGAACGGATTCTCCCCTATGAACCATCAAGGTTGCTGAGATCTTCTGGAGGGGCCCTGCTCTCGGTCCCACCACATTCGCAATCACGCCTGGTGTTGGACGAGAGACAGAGCCTTCTCGGTAGTGGCCCCTCGGCTGTGGAACTCTCTCCTGATGGAGATTAGATCTGCCCCGTCCCTCCTGACCTTCAGAAAACTAGTGAAATCCTGGCTCTGGGATATAGCATTCTCAGAATGATTGGGAAGTTCAGCAATAGCTAACTTCCCACACTGGCGGATTGAGATGAACGTGATTTTATCTTGGCGACTTGGCTTTATGTATTTATTCTGATGTATCTAACTTATTATGATGTTATCATGTTTTTAGTTGTATTTGTGTATTGATTTTCTGCTGTTAGCCGGCCTGAGTCCCTCTACCGAGGTTGAGAAGACTGGGGTATAAAAGTTTTAGATAATAAATAAATAAAGTAATAGTTAACCCTGGGCTTCCAGCACGGGCCAAAAGCTACAGTGCCCCTTACTGGCCAAACATGTCCAACTCCAAGTGCAAGTGAATGGGAAGAGGTGGGCAAGCACACTGCCTGCCCTCCCCTTGGCCTCTTCCTTCCCTTGGACCACTGTGCAGGCCTTACTTGTTGCTGTCCCGGTACTGATAGATGTAACAGCCTTGTGGCATCCCGCTCTCCTTGTCCAAAGTAAACGCCAGTTTCAGCTGCAGTGGGAGGGGAGGGGAAGGGAGAGAAAGAGGGGCCCGGGGTGGGGAGAAAAAAAGGAAAGAGAACACATACATTTAGGCAGCGCTCACAGCAAGCAACCCCTTGAAAGGCCGATGGGAGAGAACCAACCTCACCGAGGCTGACACGCAACCGCTGAGGCCTGGAACATAGCGCCGGGTTCCAAACCTCAGGGAAGAGTCACATGCCTTGCAGAAAAAGCACTGGCTTTTTCCACTCCTTTGTTACTTACTATAAAGTGTTTGTGGTTCTTCCGAAATGGCATGGGTCAGGGCAGCTCTCACCCCCTTACCCGCAAACCCCACATTTACACGCACGCTCCTTTTGCACGAGAGTGCACGGGCACATACAGGATGCAAAAGCAAGGATGCAAAGGCATTCCCAGGAGCCTCTTTCGCTGAAATTTTCCCTGAAAGCCTCATCTGCATCCCTCTTCTCCTCCGGCCCTTTCGAGGGGGAAAGGGAGAGAAGGAGGGAGGGAAACCACAGCAGGGAAGGTGACAAATTCTTCCTTTGGCACAGGGTTCTTTGCGAGCCAAACTGGAAGGGCGTGCAATTTGGCCCCGTGTCCGGCAGGGGGCTGCAAGGCCTGACCTGGAAAAAAACCCGAATGGTGGTTAGGACTTGGGACGATGGGCTGGAGATGGATTCTTTGCTGGAAATCCAAGAAAGGATTTAGGAATAGTGTGTCGATTCCTGTGTTATCCAAGGCCAGTTCGCTTAAGGGAGGAGGAAAAAAACAATTTGGCCGGTCGGCTGAAAGAAGAAACCCAACACCGCTCCGAACGAATTTGGTTGAAGGCAAATGTGGAGATTTGGAAGAGAAGCCCATTTTCTGCATGAAGGGTCTTAACTTAAAATCCTGCAACAAGAAAGGATGAGGAGCAGCGTTTCTCAACCTAGTGGTCGGGACGTGGGGGGGGGGTCATGAGGGGGTGTCAGAGGAGTCCCCAAAGACCATCAGTGTCATGGGGGTTCTGTGTCGGAAGTTTGGCCCAATTGTATCGTTGGTGGGGTTCAGAATGCTCTTTGATTGTAGGTGAACTATAAATCCCAGTCATTGCCTGAGCTCTCATTCCTCTCCAATACCAGAAATACAGCTTAATGGTGTAACATTAGAAAATGTTGACCATTTCTGCTCCCTTGGCAGCCACCTCTCCACAAAAGTAAACTTTGACACTGAAATATAACACTGCCTGAGCTCATTTTTCCAAATGAAGCATATAGTGTTTTAGGACCGGGGCATCCGTCATCCATGCCACGGTCACGTCTAGGCTGGAGTATTGCAACGCCCTGTATGTGGGCCTTCCGATGTCTACGACCCGAAAGCTTTGTATTGTTCAGAATGCAGCAGCCAGGTTACTCACAAAAACACCCATGAAATGCCATAGAACACCAGTGCTGCAACATTTACATTGGCTTCCAACTGAGTCCCGTGGCCTGTATAAGATGCTAGTTCTGACCTTTAAAACTCTTTACGGCCAGGGTCCATCGTACCTTAGGGACCGCCTCTCCTTCTCCCATCATCGGTGGTCGCAACGACCAGCCCAACGCGACTTACTCTATATACCGGGTCCTAGAGAAGCGCACTTGGAAAGTACCAGATGCAGGGCTTTTTCTATTTCTGCCCCTGCCTTGTGGGATTCCTTGCCGCCCTACATGGGAGCCATGCGTGACTTAGGGCCTTTTACTCTCGCACTTAAGACCTGGCTTTTTACTAGAGCATTCGATCTCTGTTAATTTTTAATTTTTGTATGTATGTATTTTATCTTTTATAATTTAGCTGTAAATCGCCTAGAGCATTCTCGGATGGAGGGCGATTAATAAGTTATTAAATGATGATGATGATGATGATGATACCAAGATGATTGTTTATAAAACTATTGTCCTCCCAACCCTGTTATATTCCTGTGAAACGTGGACTATCTACAGACATCACATGCAACTCCTGGAACTATTCTATCAGTGTTTCCTCCAAAAAAATCCTACAAATCTCTTGGGAGGATGTGCTGGAAGTAGCAAAGACTACCATCATTGAAGCAATGGTCCCCTGTCATCAACTCTGCTAGAAGGTCGCTTCTGGTTGCTTCTGGACCTTCTTGCGGCAACACCAGAGGCACTCCAAGTGGCCAGCTACTGGTCAAAGGACATTTAATCAACTACCAAGCTTGCAAACTCTGTTTTGTCTATTTGTTAAAAAATTGTTTAAAATGTAATACAATTGTCTGGTTGCTACTGACACAATAAATAAACAAATATCAACTCCGCTGGACCGGCCACGTTGCCCAAATGCCCGATTTCCATCTCCCAAAGCAGTTACTCTACTCCGAACTCAAGAACAGATAATGGAATGTTGGTTGGCAGGAAAAGAGATTTAAAGATGAGCTTAAAGCCAACCTTAAAAACTCTGGCATAGACTCGGAGAACTGGAAAGCCCTGGCCCTTGAGCACTCTAGCTGGACGTCAGCTGTGACCAGCAGTGCTGTGGAAGTCGAAGAGGCATGAATGGAGGGCAAAAGAGAGAAACATGCCAAGAGGAAGACGCGTCAAGCCTACCCCGACCAGGACCACCTTCCACCTGGAAACCGATGCCCTCACTGCAGGAGAACATGCGGGTGATAAATAGGGCTCCACAGTCACCTACATACCCATCGCCAGGACACCAATCTTGGAAGACAATCCTACTCGGACAATGAGGGATCACCTAAGCAAGTAATAAAATCCAGCAATATCAAGGTCTATTTCCCCCAAACTCCACCAGTGTTCACATTTGGGCATATGGAGTATTCGTGCCAAGCCATCATTGGTCCCACCTCCTTTGGAGGTGTGATTGGTGGGGACGAGAGACAGGCCCTTCTCAGTGGTGGCACTCCCCTTCCCTCCCCAGTGAAATTAGAGCAGCCCCCTCCCCCCTGACCTTCAGGAAAAAGCTAAAAACATGGATATGGGACCAAGTTTTTGGACAGTAAGTTCTAGTGCAGTAAGAGAATATGGAATAGTGAAATGACAAATGGAACAGTCTTGGATCATGATTTTGGACGGCGTGATTTTAATAGCTGGTTTTTAATATTGATATGCTTTTTTTAAAAAATTTGTTTTAATGCATTTGTTTATTTTACTGTATGTATGTTTATGCGATTGAATTACTGCCTATCTGTAAGGCCACTCTGAGTCCCCTTCGGGATGAGGAAGACAGGATATCAACGTAGTAAATAAATAAATACAACCAATCTCTAAATTGCAAAGTTGAGGTGGGAAAGGTGTTAGAGAAACAACAGCATTGTTGAGCAAACCAGGCATTACCTTCAACCTTTCTGGACATTTGGAGAACGGAAAACAATTCTGACCTTTAGGAAACAAAGGAACACCATCGAAACACTGGTTAATGTTTGCAAACATTTCTGGATGGTGGGGTGAAATCACCGACTAAAATTAACAACCTATTAAGTCACTTTTCCACCAGTAGGCTCCCAGCAGAACCCGGCAAATGGCTCATTAGGTGCCGTACCACTTCTCGCTTCCCTGCAGGATGACAAATGGAGATGAGCACAGCAAGAGCTCACTGGCCCAAATTAACGTGGCCAAATGAGGTGCCATCACAGAGTTGGAAGACAGCATCTCTGTGTGGGCGCACGTCTGCAACTCCACTCAGCCCTGCCTGCAATTGTATTGACCCCCAACCAGCTTCAGCAGGTTGAACACTACTGCAACCTCCTCCCCTCCATTAATTGATTAAAAACTCAACAGTATATGTATGTGAGGTGGCAAGAGGAAGATCTGAAATAGGAATGCTGTACAATAGCTCTAACTGGAGCACAGCATGGAATATAATCCACATGCTGGGTCCCTCTAACCCAGTTTGATCTGCTGGGTCAGGTGGAGCCAGATGAGATTTAGGAGCCACTGGGATGCTTCTTCAGGGCTTCAAGAGTCTACAGTGCCCCATGGTGGGCTAGTTCTGTGGGTTCCAGCCCTGTCCACCCTTTGCGATCACAGTTAAACTCCACAATGTGTCCAGCTATATTTGAAAAGTATTGACTCAGAGGCCAAGGAAGAGCTTACATGAATGTATTCTTCTCCTACAAAACAACCAGTGCGATACCAGGGGCAAAGGACATAATGTAATATTCTCTCTGCTATATTGGTTTTATGTGTGAAGGAAGTGTGCGTACAAAATGCAATATCCGCAGGGGATACGTTCCAAACGAACTTATTTTGACTATATGTAGGGCAGAAGTGTTGTGGCTCACTTTGAGCGTGAGCTTTCTGAGCCTGGGTTTCCTCAGGATGAGGAGGATAATGGGTTACAGATTTGTGAACATGTCCCAGTTATTGAGGCAGACAGTGTTGATTCTGAAGAATAGATGGCATTTCTGTTTCCCAGAGAAAGAAATGTTGTTTTAGATGAAGATAGTGAAACTTCACTATCTGCAGGTGGAGGAGTCGGCTCCATCTGGGAGTCCAGTGCTTCTCAGTTCCCAGGGTGATCAGTCCCAGGATAATGAGTTATCTGGCCTTGAAAATGGTAGAGATTTGATCAGGGAGGGCCATTTGCAATTAAGGGTACGCCAAAGTGCTCGCCTTGCCAATAAACGGGAAGTTTGAGGTCAACGTAATGCTTTCATGCTAGGGAAACATATTTAACGATCTGATTGAAGTCAATCCTTTGTCAGTGCAATGTTGCTTACACCCTGTTAACTTCTTTGGAATTACCCCGGCTCTGGCGAAAGCTTTTAGCTCTTTGGGACTTTGGTTTTGATCTTGGTTTTTGGGAACCTTGTCATGCTGCCATGAATTCCTGTTTAACCAATGCTAAAGGATTATACTTCATGTTATTTGCCTTTGGATCTTGAAAACTTTGCCTTTGCATTTAAGACTCTGTTTTGGCTACTGAACTTTTGCAACTGTATATCTATGTTTTTGATTTTGATTTTGCTTCATTAAACTACAAAACCTACAGCCTTGGCGTGTGGTGGTG